CATGTGGATTTTCAGGGTGAAGCGGCCGCCGGGTTCTCCGCTTGTCTTCAAGGCTCGTTACGTTGCACGAGGCTTTAGTCAGCGAACGGGAGTTGACTTCTTCCAGACCTTCTCCCCTACCCCGAAGATGACCACTCTTCGGGTGCTGCTCCACGTCGCCGCTCAGTGTGACTACGAGCTTCACTCTCTTGACTTCAGCACAGCTTTCTTACAGGGCAGCCTGCACAAGGAGATTTGGCTGCCCTGCCCACCTGGCTTCACTTGGTCGTTTCCTGCAGGTACCCTGTGGAGCCTCCGGCGACCAGTCTACGGTCTCCGTCAAGCGCCTCGCGAGTGGCACGACACACTGAGGACGACACTTGCGGCTCTTGGGTTTGCTCCTTCGACTGCTGACCTGTCGTTGTTTCTACGCACCGACACTTCTCTGCCACCTTTCTACGTCCTCGTGTATGTCGACGACTTGGTCTTTGCCACTGTTGACACTGAGGCACTGGCCCTTGTGAAGTTGGAGCTGCAGAAGAGACACACCTGCACTGACCTGGGTGAGTTGTGCAGCTATCTTGGCTTGCAGATCACCCGGGACAGAGCACGGCGCACCATCACCCCGACTTAGTCACACATGGTGCACCAGGTCCTTCAGCTCTTCGGCTTCCAGTACTCCTCGTCACAGTCCACTCCTCTGCCTACCGGTCACTCGCTCTCAGCTCCACCTTCGGACGAGTCCGTAGAGCCGAGTGGCCCGTATCCAGAGCTTGTGGGCTGCCTCATGTACCTGATGACCTGCACTCGACCTGACCTTGCATAACCTCTTAGCATCCTGGCACGCTACGTTGCGCCCGGGAGACACCGACCAGAGCACTGGGAGGCCGCTAAGAGGGTGTTGCGCTACTTGTGCAGTACTTCGGACATGGGGCTCGTGCTTGGAGGATGGGGTCCAGTTGTCCTCATTGGACACGCAGACGCTTCTTGGGTTGACGACTTGGCTACTCAGCGGTCAACACAGGGTTACACCTTCGGCCTTAGCTCCGGCTCTGTTCTTGGCGGTCTACCCGCTCGTCTTCTGTTCTTAGTTCCAGTTGTGAGGCTGAGATCTACGTAGGGGCCATGGCTGCATAGGAGTTACGCTGGCTCACCAACTTGCTGACCGACTTGGGAGAGCGGTCTCGTTCTTCTCCAGTTCTGTACGTAGACAACAAGGCCATAATTGCCTTGTGTCAGGAGCATAGACTGGGGCACAGAACGAAGCACATCGCTCTGCGTTACTTCCTTGCTCGAGAGTTGCAGCAGCGTGGTCAGCTTTGTCTTGCTTACGTGGCCACTAGGGCCAACACTGCTGATATATTCACCAAGGCACTTCAGTCTGGTGGTCATCAGCGTTTCTGTACTGTTTTAGGCTTTGTGCCTACTTTGCCTCACTTGCTCACTGCGTGACTTTGCTAGTATTGTGGTCTATATACCGTCAGCCCCCGGATAGTAGCGTCCCTGGGGGTATAAAAAAACACTATTTTTTAGGGGGTGCGCTTATAATCGAGGAAATTTATAAGCGCCAGCGTTTATAAAATGGCAAAAATGAAATGTATTGTTTTAACATGAAATTGAAGCTTTTTCAAAAGGGGATTCAATCCACATCTAGAACGTTCATATCCGTGCGTGAAAAGTGTGTGAAATGGCCAACAAGGCATGGAATCACGCCCATCACGCCTTGCTGGCCTGGCCAGATTCATCGAACATGAATCTGGCCCATGCTAGCGCACACGTAGTTTAGGGTGCGACTGCCCAATCAGGGTCGCATGCCGTGCCAGGCACGACTCTGTACAACCACGCAATTGGCAGCCCCGGCAAGATTCCACTCCACCGAGGCATTGACCTCACCACCTCAGCTCCTCTGCGGGGGGATCTTGACAGTTTTCCCCCTTTCCTTGCAGAGGAACCCGGGCCGCGAAGTTGGAGGGGTCTCGGGCGAGGGTTTCAAACGAGGCTCATTCTCTTCGTTTTCTTCAGTTTTCTTGTTTTCCCTCGGCCTGCCTAGGCCATGGCGGGCCTTCCAGGCACCCACTTCCTATTTAGCCGTCGACCTGTTGTTGGCAACACTCGCGATTACTCTTAGTGGCAGAGTCGCCCAGCGCCTCCTGCTCCTCCAGCGCCTCCTGCTCCTCCCACTCCGCCTATCATCGTCGTCAACGGTCGGCCCGTTCTACAGCTCCTCCCTCGCGGTTACTCAGCTTTCGACGCGTACATCTCTGAGCCCGAGCGCAGCGGCGACGATGAATCCGGCCCCGGTCTGTCGCCACGCTGGGGAGACGCGGAAGACTGCCCGTACGACGAATCCGCCACTGGTGCTGAAGACGATGTTGAGTGGTGGGCGGCCGACGGTCTTCCCGAGGACCTGCCTATCCCTAGTTTCCCCCCGCCGAATAAGAAACGGCCCCACCCCTCCAAACAGAATCTTGATGCCCGCCCCCCGCCCCCCAGGAGCAAGCCTTCAACGCACAAGCGCAACTCCTACACTTCCCAGGAGAAGCTGCAGTGGATTGCAAAGTTGGAGTCCGGAGCTGTGAGTGTGCGGAGAATGTCCCGCGACACTGGTATCTCCCAAAAGTCCCTGTCAGAGTGGAAGTCGCGGAAGGGTGAGCTGGAAGGTGCGCATGGGGCTCGCAAGCGCCTTCACGGGCATGGTCGGGCGTCGTGGTACCGCGACATGGAGATCGAGGTGTACTCACGTGTTCTTGCCCACCGGAAATAGTGTCTTGCCATGTCCGTCGGCCGATTGCAGAAGTGGTCACATGATGTGATGAAGATCCTGCATCCTGAGGTAAAGTGGGCTGGATCTCAGAGGTGGACTGAGCGTTTTCGACGGCGCTGGAACCTCACTACCCGAGCGAAGACCAGAGTCGGCCAGAAGCTGTCGTCTGGTGAGTCGGTGTTTGTGCTGTCGCTCTCGTTTATGGCTGCTTACGACCTTCGAAATTCCAATTTACTTCTTTTGTTTGTCTCTCCCACCCTTCCCTTGCAGAGTGTGAGACACAGGTGCAGAACTTCTGGAAGTTCGTGCGACACTCCCGCCGTCAGTACGGCATCGACAACCGCTGGATTATTAATGCCGATCAAACGCCACTCTGGCTCGAGATGCCAGCTGAACGCACGGTCGAGGAGGTGGGGATCCGCTCCGTGCCCATCCGCAGCGACGGCTATAAAAAAGAACGCGTGACGGTGATGCTTGCCTGCACCGCCAGCGGCGAGAAGCTCAAGCCTTGGGTCTTCTTTAAGCGCAAGACAATTCCTAAGGGGAATTTCCCCTCCGGTAAGCCGAGCAGCTTGTGCAGTGACGGTGTCATTTGCATGTGATATTTTTTTTTAATGTCTGATGCTAATCTGTCCGTACGCCTTGTTCGGATGTGCAGATGTTGTGGTCGCCGTACATCCCAACGGTTGGATGGACGCTGACGGCGTCCTCGCGTGGCTCGACGGGACGGTGAACCCGTATGTCAACCCCAGGTTCGGAGTACGCGGCGGGAAAGTGATGTTGGTTCTTGACTCCTACCGCGGGCACCTCACTGATGCTGTGAAGGCGAAATTCGGGGAGCTGAACATCGTCCCCGCCGTCATACCAGCTGGCTGCACCTCTGAGATCCAGCCTCTTGACGTCGTGGTGAACCGCTCATTCAAAGCAGCAGTCCGCCAACTGTACCAGGAGTGGTTCGAGAGCGAGGGGGCGACTGCCTGACCGAAAGAGGTGAGCTCAATCTCAACGTGTACGATGTGTCTGCTTAAACTGTTTCCACCCTGTTCTGTTTGCTGTAGTGTTTCCATGTGTGGCAGGCAACATCCGCAAGCCACCTCCATAGCTGACGCTCAAGTGGATCTCCAAGGCCTGGAAGGCCGTGCCCAAGGAGTTAATTCAGCGCTCGTTTCTCACCTGTGGCATCAGCAACGCCCTGGATGGGTCCCAGGACAATCTCTGCATGCAGCACCAGCGGGACGCCGTCAAGGGTGAAGTAGAACTTGACGACGAGATTGCAGCAGATGGATTCTTCTGCAACAACGTAGAGGAGCCAGAGTCGGACGGGGAGGCCGACCAAGATGGCTCCGCCACTGTTGATGGTGATGCATAGGATGCTAGGAAGAAAAGAATGCATAGGATGCTAGAGAAGGTCAGTGAATGTTGCGGTAAACTATCAGTAGGATTTAGTACCGTAGTAGAATTGGAAAAATATTATGTTGTAGTGAAAATAGCTTGTAAAAGATAGGATAATAATAGTCGAAATAAAAAAGGGAGGCGCTTATAATGTGTCATAATAGAGGGGTGCGCTTATAATCCGCAAGCCTCCAGGGGTGCGCTTATAATCGAAGACTGGATATAAGCGCCATCACCCTTTTACAACCGCCGGCGCTTATCCGAGGTCTGCGCTTCTATCCGGGGCCTTACGGTATATACCTGTCAAAACATATGTGTTTATATTTCTCTAGGCTGTAGTGGGTTTTGTTAGAATACTAGCGTGAGTTAGGAACCATGGCTTGGGTTCAGGGCATTAGTGTCGAGAGAATTTCGGATGAGGAAAGTCGAGAAGGAAGAATGAGGGGTTTCACTATAGAAAGTTGGGATACAAATAGCAAACCCTAAATTGGGTTGTACTCACTACAGAGTAACCCACTGCAGGCTAAACAGCAAATACATTCTGACACACCCCCATAGTCAAAGTGGGGTATAATCAGCACAGCAAGCAGTCATAGAGCAGGTTCACAAGTACAAGCAAAGCTAGAGGCATTCACAAAGGGCAAGTGAGGAGGAGGCTGGATTGTAAGAGGAGAGTATATAGGAGGCGACTGCTGATGCTGCAGACACTCGGGCAACAGGAGAGGCGCGCACTGTGGCTACCAGGGCCGTATCCCCGGACTACAGGAGTAACTGGCTCTGCGGCTAACTCTGAGCGGCAGGAGCAACGGACCCACAGGCGACAGGCGCAGCAGGCTCTCTGAGCTACCAGAAGCAGAGCCCCGGACTACAGGTGCTGCGGGGCGCAGCAGGGCTGCAGGGCGCGCGGGGCGCGCAGGGCAGCAGCAAGGGCTGTAGCGGCAACAGCAAGGGCTGTAGCGGCAACAGCAAGGGCTGTAGCGGCAGCAGCAGGGCAGCAGGGCGCACAGGGCTGCAGGGCAGCAGGGCGCACAGGGCTGCAGGGCAGCAGGGCGCGCGAGGCGCGCAGGGCTGCAGGGCAGCACAGGGCTGCAGATCCCCTCCCCCCCACCGCTGCACCCACAGCAGGGGGATGGAGGAGAAGTGGGGGGGGGGGGGGGGCTGGGGGGGGCTGGTGCTGCAGATCCCCTCCTGCCTCCCCCTGAACCTCCAAGCTCCCCCCCCCCTCCCAACACAGGGTGCGGCAGGGAGAGAGAGAGGAGAAAAGGGCGGGGGGGGGGGGCTGATGCTGCAAATCCCCTCCCCCCACTGCTGCTGCAGATCCCCTCCCCCCCACTGCTGCACCCACAGCAGGGGTGGAGGAGAAAGGGGGGGGGGGGGCGGGGGGGGGCTGGTGCTGCAGATCCCCTCCTGCCTCCCTCTGAACCTCCAAACTCCCCCCCCCTCCCAACACAGGGTGCGGCAGGGAGAGAGAGAGGAGAAAAGGGCGGGGGGGGGGGGGGGGGAGGGGGGGGGCTGATGCTGCAAATCCCCACCCCCCACTGCTGCTGCAGATCCCCTCCCCCCCACTGCTGCAGATCCCCTCCCCCCCACTGCTGCACCCGCAGCAGGGGTGGAGGAGAAAAGGGGGGGGGGGGGGGGGGGAGGGCGGGGGGGGGGGCTGGTGCTGCAGGTCCCCTCCCCCCACTGCCGCATCCGCAGCAGGGGGAGATAGGAGAAGGGGGGGCGGGGGGGGCTGGTGCTGCAGATCCCCTCCCCCCCCACTGCTGCACCCGCAGCAGAGAGATGGAGGAGAAGGGGGGGGGGCGGGGGGGGGGGGCTGGTGCTGCAGATCCCCTCCTGCCTCCCCCTGAACCTCCAAGCTCCCCCCCCTCTCCCACCACAAGGTGCGGCAGGGAGAGAGAGAGGAGGAGGCGTGGCGGCAGCTGCTGCTGCTGAGGCACATCCGCCACCCCCTCACACCCTCTCCCCGCCATCCCCATGGAGGGGGGGGAGGGGGGGGAGGGGGGCGGGGGCGGAGCTGCGCGTGCGACTGTAGGGCACGTGGGCAGGAGGAACCCCCTCTTGCCACCCCCTCACCCACCATGTTGCAACAGGGCACCGGGGCCGCGGTTAGGGGCGGCAGGTCGCGAGGGGCCATGGCTAGGGGCGACGGGGCCATGGCTACGGACGGGGCCGGGCGCTGGGCAGGTACGGGGCCGGGCGCTGGGCAGGTACGGGGCCGGGCTCTGGGCAGGTACGGGGCCGGGCTCTGGACAGGTACGGGGCCGGGCTCTGGGCAGGTACGGGGCCGGGCGCTGGGAAGGTACAGGGCCGGGCGCTGGGCAGGTACGGGGCCGGGCGCTGGGCAGGTACGGGGCCGGGCGCTGGGCAGGTACGGGGCCGGGCGCTGGGCAGGTACGGGGCCTGGCGCTGGGCAGGTAAGGGGCCGGGCACTGGGCAGGAACGGGGCCAGGCGCTGGGCAGGTACGGGGCCGGGCGCTGGGTAGGTACGGGGCTGGGCGCTGGGCAGGTACGGGGCCGGGCGTTGGGCAGGTACGGGGCCGGGCTCTGGGCAGGTACGGGGCCGGGCGCTGGGCAGGTACAGGGCCGGGCGCTGGGCAGGTACGGGCCGGGCGCGGGCTAGGTACGGGGCCGGGCGCAGGCTAGGTACGGGGCCGGGCGCTGGCTAGGGTCGGGGCCGTGCGCTGGGCTAGGTATGGGCCGGGCGCGGGGCTCGGAACGGGCCGAGCGCGGGCGAGAGACGGGGCCGGGCGCGGGCAGGGTACGTGGCCGGGCGCGGGCGAGGTACAGGGCCAGGCGCTGGCTAGGTACGGGGCCGGGCGCTGGCTAGGGTCGGGGCCGTGCGCTGGGCTAGGTACGGGCCGGGCGCGGGGCTAGGTACGGGCCGAGCGCGGGCGAGAGACGGGGCCGGGCGCGGGCAGGGTACGGGCCGGTCGCGAGGCTAGGAACGGGGCCGAGCGCGGGCAGGGTACGGGCCGATCGCGGGCTAGGTACGGGGCCAAGCGCGGGCGAGGTACGAGCCGGGCGCGGGGCTAGGAACGGGGCCGAGCGCGGGCTAGGTACGGGCCGATCGCGGGCTAAGTACGGGCCGGGCGCGGGGCGATGGAGTCGACGGGGCCAGCGGGGCCGAGGGGCACAGCTAGGGGCGACGCCAAGGGGCGACGGGGCCAAGGGGCCGAGGCGACGGGGCCAAGGGGCCGAGCCTAGGGGCTAGGGGCGACGCCAAGGGGCGACGGGCCGGGGCCTAGGCTAGCAGGGCAGTAGGTGGTGGGCCCATTAAGATTAGGTCCTAGGAAATTGTTGCTCTTAATACCATGTTAGAATACTAGCGTGAGTTAGGAACCATGGCTTGGGTTCAGGGCATTAGTGTCGAGAGAATTTTGGGTGAGGAAAGTCGAGAAGGAAGAATGAGGGGTTTCACTATAGAAAGTTGGGATACAAATAGCAAACCCTAAATTGGGTTGTACTCACTACAGAGTACCCCACTGCAGGCTAAACAGCAAATACATTCTGACATGTTTAGCCTTAGGGGGTGCAGTATTTCTCTCGACACTCTACTTGTACCCTCCCCCTTTCACCTAATGCATCATTCTCGTTATTCTAACATGGAATCAGAGCAGGTTACCTTTGGGCCCACCATCTGCTACCTCGTTCCTAGCCCCGCGCCCGGCCCGTACCTCGCCCGCGATAGGCCTGTACCTAGCCCGCGCCCGGCCCAGTCTCTTGCCCGCGCCTGGCCCGTACCTAGCCCGCGATAGGCCCGTACCTAGCCCGCGCTCGGCCCTGTCTCATGCCTGCGCCCGGCCCGTACCTAGCCCGCGATCGCCCCGTCGACACCCGCGCCCGGCCCCGTACCTAGCCCACGCCCAGTCGACGCCCGCGACCGGCCCGTACCTAGCCCGCAACCCGGCCCCGTACCTAGCCCGCGATCGCCCCGTCGACACCCGCGCCCGGCCCCGTACCTAGCCTGCGCCCCGTCGACGCCCGCGACCGGTCCGTACCTAGCCCGCGACCCGGCCCCGTACCTAGCCCGCGCCCTGTCGACACCCGTGCCCGGCCCCGTACCTAGCCCGCGCTCGGCCCCGTTCCTAGCCCAGCGCCCGGCCCCGTTCCTAGCCCCGCGCCCTGCCCCTTCCCTAGCCCGCGCCCGGCCCCGTCCCTCGCCCAGCGCCCGGCCCCGTACCTAGCCTGCGCCTGGCCCCGTACCTAGCCCCGGCCCGTCGACACCTGCGCCAGACCTCGTCCCTCGCCCAGCGCCCGCCCCCCCCCCCCCCTTGTTTGGCCCCTCGGCCCCAGTTCAGAGCCCAGCGCCCGGCCTCGTGCCTGCCCAGCGCCCGACCCCGTACCTAGCCCGTGCCCGGCCCCATACCTAGCCCGCGCCCGGCCCCGTACCTAGCCCGCGCCCGGCCCCTTGTTTGGCCCCTCGGCCCCAGTTCAGAGCCCAGCGCCCGGCCCCGTTCCTGCCCAGCGCCCGGCCCTGTACCTAGCCAGCGCCCGGCCTCGTACCTAGCCCGCGCCCGCCCCCCCCCCCCCCCCCCCCTTGTTTGGCCCCTTGGCCCTGCCCCTCGGCCCCTTGGCCCCTAGCCTCGGCCCCTAGGCTCGGCCTCCTCGGCCCTTGTGTTTGGCCCCTCGGCCCCCTAGGCCCCTAGGCCCCAGTTCAGAGCCCAGCGCCCGGCCCCGTACCTGCCCAGCGCCCGGCCCCGTACCCAGCCCGCGCCCGGCCCCGTACCTAGCCTGCGCCCGGCCCCTTGTTTGGCACCTCGACCCCGCCCCTCGGCCCCTCGGCCCCTAGCCTCGGCCCCTAGGCTCGGCCTCCTCGGCCCTCGTGTTTGGCCCCTCGGCCCCCTAGGCCCCTAGGCCCCTCGGCCCTCGTGTTTGGCCCCTCGGCCCCCTAGGCCTCTCGGCCACCTAAGCCTCTCGGCCCCTCGGCCCTCGTGTTTGGCCCCTCGGCCCCCCCCCTAGGCCTCTCGGCCACCTAGGCCTCTCGGCCCCCCTACGCCCCTCGGCCCCTTGGCCCCTAGGCCCCTCTGCCCCTCGTGTTTGGCCCCTTGGCCCCATAGCTACTGCTCCTGCTGCTCCTGCTGCTACTGCTGCTCCTGAGTCCTGTGCCACTATGGCGTCGCTTTGAGTTCTCTCGTTCGACCCGGAGGGCAGACCTGTAGCATTTGACACGTGGCATGACGATCTACAATTGTACCTACTGAGCGATCTTAAGGACAGTGTCTCACTGTTTGACCACGTGTCCGGTGCTGCTCCAGCCCCTCCTGCCACAGCTGACGTTTCGACTCGTTCCCAGTGGCTGTCTCGTGACGCTACTGCCCGCTTAGCCATTCACAACCACCTGCCCGCGACCGAATGTGCTCACTTTGGAGAGCACAGGACAGCACAGGCCCTGTACGACGCTGTCGTTGCTCGCTACTCCTCCCCTGCCACTACTGCTATTGGCAGGCTGCTACTGCCCTACCTGTTCCCTGAGCTGTCATCTTTTGCCACAGTAGCGGACCTGGTTACCCACCTGCGCACTAGCGACGCTCGCTACCGCGCTGCCGTCCCTGCTGAGTTCCTTCCCACGAACCAGCCCCCCATGTTCATCACCCTCTACTTCATAGTCACTCGCCTCCCTGACTCCCTTCGCTCTGTCAGGGACCACTTCCTCACCCTCGACCCCACCTCCCTCACTGTTGACCTCCTCGAGCAGCATCTCCTCGTAGCTGAGACTAGTGCAGTTGCTGTAGGTGCTGCTTGTGGCACTCCGCGCTCACCCTTCTTTGAGGGGTGCTCCCCCTCCCCCCTTTCCTCCTCCTTCGCCTCTGGTGCTGCTGCAGACGTCTCTGTTCCTGAGGACGTTGGTGCTGCTTCGACTAGTGCGAAGCGCCGCAACAGCAAGGGCAAGGGTGGTCGCGGTAGTGGAGGAGGCAGCGGTGGTGGTGGAGGTGGCAGTGGGAGCGGTAGTGGGGGCAGCGGTAGAGGAGGTGGAGGCGGTGGAGGTGGTGGCGGCGGTGGGACTGGTGGCGGCGGTGGAGGCTCTGGTGGCGGCGGTGGAGGCAGCGGAGGGAGTGGCGGCAGTGGAGGCGGTGGGACCGGTGGTGGCAGGTCTGGACCTCAGCGTGGAGGCCCTGGTGGTGTTCGGGGCCAGCAGCAGCAGCGTCGGAGCGAGACCCAGACGCCCCAGCAGCTCCGTGAGTGGTTGGTTCAGCGTGGGGCGGGTGCGGGGAGTGAGACCTGCCCGTATGTCATTCGCACGGGTGTCCGTGCGGGCCGGACATGCGGGAAGTTTCACACTGAGCGCCGCTTCTTTGCCCGCCTTGACGACACCTGGCGTGCTGAGTTTGGTGACGACGTCGAGCGCCCTCGCTAGGCGCAGTTGCTTCAGTCAGGAGTTGCTATCTTTGACCTAGACTTTGATGTTATTATCTCTGCCATGTATGCTTTGTCTTTTAGTGCTGAGGGTGACTGTTACCAATGTGTGCCACCTGACCCAGGTATAGCGGCTGCTGCTCTAGGTGCTAGTGCGTCTGGTACTCCCCCTGGTACTGCGCCTGCTGAGGCCTTGCACATTTTCACGTTGGACTCCGGCGCCTCGCGCTGTTTCTTTCCTGACAGCACCACTTCCACTCCTCTCCCTGCACCTGTCCCGGTCAGACTGGCTAACCCCTCTGGGGGCCCGGTCGTTGCCCGTTCCTCCACTGTCCTCCCGTGTCCGGCGGTTCCGTCCGGCTCACTGTCAGGTCTTCACCTCCCCTCGTTCTCTACAAACTTTGTGAGTACCGCTGCCCTTCAGGATGCGATGGTCACTACCACCACTCCTGGGGGTCAGCGTGTGTCGATCTGCACGTGCACACGGACGGGGCGTCACCTGGCTACGTTCACTCGTCGGCCAGGGTCGAGTCTGTACACGCTGGCTACCGAGCCTTCTCAGGTCGCTGCGTCTGCTCAGGTGTCCGCGTCAGGTCAGGTAGCCGCCTCTTGCTCGTGTCGCCTCCTGTAGCACCAGACTCTTCTTTGGCACCACCGCCTGGGTCACCCCTCCCTGCCACGCCTTCGTGGCATGCACTCCCGTCTCCTTGTCTCTGGTCTCCCCAGGTCTCTGCCTCCCTTACTGCCCTCGCCTGCCCCGCCCTGTCTTCCTTGCGTCGAGGGGCGGCAGCGCGCCGCTCC